TCCTGTCTGGTCTACTTCCTGTCTGGTCTACTTCCTGTCTACTCTCTGTCTGCTCTACTTCCTGTCTGCCCTCTGTCTGCTCCACTTCCTGTCTGCTCTCTGTCTGCTCTCCTGTCTGGTCTACTTCCTGTCTGCTCTACTTCCTGTTCTGCTTTACTTCCTGTCTGCTCTACTTCCTGTCTGCTCTCCTGTCTTCTGTCTGTCTGTCCGTCTGGACTTGGGCTCCTTTTGTTTCTGCTCAGGCTCTTTGTGGGAACTGTCAGGGTGAATATTCACCTCGCTTACTGAAGCAGACACAATGACACCTTTAAAGCCGAGAGCTGCGTGCATCTTCGTCACATGTTTCATAAGGTGCAAATTCCATTTCTGTGGCAAAGTCTTCAGAGACAATCGTTTACACTTCATTAGCTGTGTGTGTGTGTGTGCGGGGGGTTATTGTGTTTAGGTTTTCAGACTCTCAGAATTTGTGGATGTTTAGCACAAATACCTGACTGTATTTATCTCTAATATGCACAGACTCCACTCTGGACAGGCCAGTGGGGTCATGAGGAATGACAAAAGTAGACTTATAGCTATTTTTTCACTCTTTAAATTGATCATATCATGAAATAATTAAACTAAACATTCCCACAACGACTCAACGGCTTGATTTGGCTCAGCTGCTCATCTCCAAAGCTTCTTCATTTTATTTGCTTTTATGATGATGTTTTACCATTTTACACACATAGCCATGCGGCTCCTGTTAGGGTTAGTATACTAACTATTATACTATATTACTACACTATAGACTATATTACTATAGTGTATTTGTGAGACAGTGTGTAGTTTAGTCGGCTGAGTGACCACCACCTATGTTTTCTGTCCATTTTTCTTGTTGAGGTTCACTTTTGGTTCATACAACTATTAACTAACTAAGAATGTTAAGAAGTGTTGATAGACACCAAACGAACGACTTTTCTATTGTGTTCTGTTAATGGAACCTTTTTAAAAGGGGATACGGGAAAAAAAATCCTCCAAGCTGGAAGTATTTCCTGAATTTTTGTCTTCCAACAGTGGTGGAATTTGTGTGAATTGCTAAGATTTAGCTGAAATTAACTTTATATAACTGTCACGGAACGTTTGAGGATAAATTTGTTTAAATGAACTGATAAATTAATAAATTTTTAGTTTGATAAAGACATTCATTTTACGAATATCACCCTTAAAAGTGGCAGATTTCAGTATCCACCTAGTTGGCTTTTAAAACTTCTTAAAAGTTCAAGATGCTGTCATAATATGACAAAATACAAACAATCTGCTGGATTTTAAGAAGTTTTGAGCTCAAACTAGAACTAAAAGCAGTAAACAATAACTGAAGATGCAACAGCCACAAAAATAATTTAGAAGATAGGAAGACCTTTGCCCTTAAACTAAATGTTCTAAAGGCCGCATGGGAAACCCACAGAACTACACTGCCATAAAAACAGTGGACGTGTAGATACTGATTCCCAGAAAATCCATAATCACTCATGCATGTTGTTTCTTTTTTCACTGAAAGTGTAAAAAAAAAACTTGTATTCCTTTAGCAGCCGAAGATTTAAGTTGTCTTCTCGTTTGAGTTTGCATGAACTTCAGCTCCACTTAAGTTCACATACACTTCCAATTAACACAGCGCACGCTTCAATACACACACACTTGAAATTAATTTATTACATGCATGAATACGTACACATGCCCCACACTTACGCTTCGGCACACACAGTGACACATCGGTGACACCCGGTCCACTGTTAGCACTCATGCTAGCACACACGGAGAGGCTAACAGTGTCTCCAACACGATGACATCACCGAAATCCACCGAGAAAAAAATACAGGTGTCACTTTCAGAGGATAAGAAACAGTGTCACTGTTAAGTTAAAATGTCTGTTCCCTACTTGGAGTATATTCCTCTGAGCTAAGTCCTGTTTAAAGACCCATTTATTCGACATGGCTTTAAACATTTAAACCTTAGGTTGAGGCAGAGCACCTTTTTACCTTTTTTATTCATTTATTTTTATTTATTTATTTTTAAATTAAAAGCACATATACATGCTTTTTATGTACAGCACTTTGGCAACCTTGGTTATTTTAAATGTGCTATATAAATAAAGTTTGACTTGACTTCACTTGACTTAGCTGGAGACATGTTTGCTTTTGTGTATTTTGCAAAAAGAAGGTTTATTAAGGTGCAGACAGGTAGTGAAATTGAAAAGTTACATTTCCTGTACAAAATATAACACAGAAATGTACTTTGGCTGGGATATAAAGAACAATAACTGCATTATATTGTGTACTTTGTGCTACTTTTTGTGGTGCTTTAAGCAGCTGCCTTCGTGATGTTAACCCGATTCTTTAATTGGAAAAATAAGAGAAAACCAGTATAAAAAAATGACATTTATTTGGTCACAGTTAAGTATATCAGCTGGGCTCTAACAGAAAAAAAACCTCTCTCGGGGTATAAGTTCCGGTCTTTTTAGCTCAATTTTTTGCTTTTTTGCTGCATTTTTTGATAGTTGTAAGTCTTGCTTTTTCTTTTTGGTGTATATTTGGTCAATTTAGCCTTGGTTTTTGTATTTTGGTATATTTTTTTGGTCATTTTAAGCCTTGTTTTTGCTTTTTTGGTGTACTAATGTTAGCCCGATTCTTTAGTTGGAAACCTGAGAATAAACCAGAGTAGATGACAAATATGAAAAATGACAATTATTGGACACAGTTAAGTGTATCAGTGCTCTGACAGACTAAAACCTCTCTCTGGGTCTCAGTGGGTTAGAGCCCTGAGATCTGAGTGATGGGCATTATCTCCTGGGCTCGATCCGCCTCCTCAAAGGAGGACTGGACACAACCAAGTCCTATTGGCCAGTTACCTCTGGGCAGGAACAGGCCAGGTCCTAATTCATGCAAATGACAGGAATGTGCTAACAAATGCTGTGTGTGTGTGTGTGTGTTGACCTAAAGGTAGATCTAAT